TTTTTTTTTTTTTTTTTTTTTTTTTTTTTTTTTGTTTAAAGTTCGTTTATTCGTTCTTTTTAGAATGGAAGCTAGATTTAAGGAAATGATTTTTTGATAAACTTTTACTTTTTTATGAAACTATATTTTCTGGAAGTAAAAGAGGACAGTATTGATTTCGATTTTATGCATTTTTGAAGTGGAGCGTAGTAACTGAGACTCTGTGCCAAAACTTTTCTTCGGAATTTACGTATTATGGAGAGCTAGAGGTAACGCTTATGCTCTACCACATCTTTGTTTTGTCAACTGTTGAGAAGGGAACATAACAGTTGTTTACTTTCTTGATAGACTTCATTTAGTGAGAAATGGTAAAATAATGTCGTTGTTTTAGCTCTTGGGTAAAAAATGTTTAGTTCCTTGTGGTTTGTCTTTAGTTAGTTCGGCGTTGAATGAATTATCAGTTTATAAAATAATAAAGTTATGCGTTCTTGTTTTCGTTGTTTTGCTGCAGTTGGGACTCAGTTTTGCTGTTTTAGCTTTTTTTGACCTGATGTTCGTTAGTGAAATTTTTTTAAGGAGGTTAGAGTTTCAATTAGTTTTTTTTTCTTTTCGTAAATATCTCTTTTTTAGCGTAATAAATGGTAAGGAGTTTAGACGACAAGTAACAAAAATTTTTTAGATTTTGTTTTACCTATTCTGCTCTTCAGAAACAGTTCTTTTTCAAAAGTATTTTATTTTTAGACTGCTATTATTTCTTTACCAAGTATTTCTATGACTCAGAGCTTTAAATCGGCCTTTTGAAGAAGTAGTGTTGTGCGTTGGGGACATGATGTTTTAAAAAGTTTTGTGGCTTGATTTTCAGTTTTATCCTTGTAGATCCAGTATTGATTCTGAATTTGGAACAGTATGTTGCTATAAGCATTAGAAAGACGTTGCCATGTGCGCTAAACGTTTGGGAGTCAGTGAGATCAGAAGCAGCAAGTTTTTTACGCCAGTTATTAAACCGGTGCTAACTATTTTAACAACTGAAGTTTAACAGCAAGTCAGAAGTTGTTTAAGACATTTTTTGAAAACTTGTGGCTCTTTATTTTTGTTTTCTTGCTTTTGATCATAAAAATCAGTAAAAAAAGATTTAATGCAAACATCTGCTGTACAAATTTGTTTTGCGTCTAATAATATCTCCTTGTTTTCTAACCTAAAAATTGATTTTAAGGCTTTGTTTTAAAGAAATATTTAAAGTAATTTGAGTCATATGAAATCAACTAGATGTTTAGGTGAGGTTAGAATTACTTCCGTTTGTTCGTTAGGCGTTCCTTTTATTTTCATTAATAGTTTCCTATTAGGACACATATTGAGCGACAGGTGGTTAAAGAAGTTTACTAAATTAATTTTTAATATTCGACCTTTAGTGGGGGTCACTGAAAAGTGCTGGAAAGCAATTAATGATGGACAGACACTTTAAAATGTTTATTTTTAGGCGTTCTTTTCAGTCTCTACACATATTCCTTGATTTTTATACTTTTACACGTCTTGAAAGGTTAAGCTGTTAATAGCTTAAATATAATTAATATGACTTAGTGTTATTCAGATATATAATCAGTTGGTTATCGGTAAAGGAGCAACACATGAAAAATAGTGCTTTCTGGATGTATTAGATTTTCAGTTTTCAGCAGACCATTTCATGTTAGCTTTACTGCAGCATCTTTATTTATATGCCAGACTTTATGACTATATAACAGGAGGATGTACAGATGATGTTTTATTGTTTCTTCATTTTCTTGACCTTCTGAAATTCTTTGTATGGAAGACCATATTCAAAAAAAGCTCAGCTGTTGTTGCTCATTGAATAGCAGTGCTCTTCAAAAAATTAGTCCGAATTTAAGTCACTGTACCTTTAAACTACTAAAATACAGTGCATAGTCTGTAAAAAAGTAGGTGGGCAAACACCAATTATAAGATTATTGTTGTTAAGTACAATGTGAGCATGTTCAAAAAAATGTTAGATTTATCGAACAAAATTGAAGTTTTAGTCATTGGATATTTTACACGGATAAACTTTTTGTGGTGTATTATTGAAAAAATCTGACGTTTTGGTTATTTTGGGATACTCGATAATCATTAACAGTTCTGTCACCGTTTATATATTTCAGTTTCACCGCAGATTTTTTGATCTGGAAAGATTGTATGGCAGATTTTCCTGACCTGAAAATTTTACTAACGAACAGGTACAAGAGTTGAAAACCGGTAAAAAGAAAAAGCAGCTTAATATTTAAAAGTATAGATTTCAACAAAAATTAAATAGCTGGACAAAATTTAGACAGATAAACTTTCATTTTCTTTTGCAATTCAGAAAGGAAATTAATGGTTTGATTTTTTTGGTTATAAGGATATTCACTGCATGATCACACTTGGATCTGACAGCATACCGCACATAAATTAGGTCAGTGTTTGGTTTCCTGGGTGGAAAAAGTTGCTGGATTACGTGATTATTAAGGAACGGTTTCTTGAATGTAGGGTTTGGTTACTTCTTGATGTTCCCTTCTGGTTGATTTCTGATCGCAAATCAACAGGTCTAAATAAATTTTTTAAGATTTTTTGGAAGGAAATTATTTTTTGAACAATGAAAACTTCAGATGCAAAAAACGTTTTGTTGTCGTTGCTGCTACGGCTGACTTTTAACACTCAGAAATTATTTATTCTACACGTGTAAAAAATCTTTGTACGTTTGGTGTACTACCAAAATTCTGTGTAGTTACCGCAGTGCCGTCATCGGTGGTACACCAATTGTTCCAACTGACACCTGTCAAACCTCCTTCATTCTATGCGCAATTAAAAGCTTTTAAGCTTTTATATAATTGTTTGAGTCAAAAAGAAAAAAAGAGGAAAGAAAAAGATGCCGCCATAAACATTTTTGGAATATTTCTTCTACCTTTTTTGTGTTAAAAGAACCGTTCCTAATGTGAGTTTTCTTTAATGTCAGAAATATTTTGTTTGATGAGTTTTTTAGTTGGGCCAAATGACAAAAAAAAGAAAAGAAAACCGATAATCAAGAAGCTCAAATTATCAATGGAACCATTCTTAAAGTTTAATACTCCAATAACGTTCTACAAAAACAAAAGTATTTTAGCGCAAAATGCAATGGATTATAAATTGTGTTCACTTTGACAAAAAAAAGATATTCACTGTTTCTGACACAGAAAAATTTTTGGTTTTTTTGGTGCTGTGAATAAAAAATAAATTATATGTTGTTATTGCTCATACTTACTGCACCAATAAGTTAATATCTACACAGTTCTTAAGTGATTTCTTGTACCTATGCAGAAACAATAATATAGGTAAATTGAAACTTTGGTACTTCAATAACATTGAGAACTATATGGTAGGCGTTAGAAGTCATTTATTGCCGATGAAATTTTGCTCTGTGCGGAATAAAATATTGTTTAAATAGATAGTCAAAACCATAGATTTAGCGGAAATGAGAGAAGAAGATAAAAAGTAGTAGAAGGAGGGTTGACGTGACTTGACGAGCAATTTGTAGTTAGTGATAATGTTTCATAGTTCTTACCACGCAAATTTATAAAAGTAGACCAACGTTTCTAGGATTTAGAAGTTTTTAGGAAGTATCTTGTATTCAACGAGAGTAATTTTTATTCTTCCGAAACTACTCTCTCTTCGTAACTAATCAATTATACAGTTTCTCAGGAACCAATTTATTGTTATTGCTTTTTCTGGTGAATGACATGCAGTGAAGTAATAACCCTTAAATACGTATGTGATGAACCATTCAAGTGGAAAGGAGAAAAGGAAGAAAAGAAACGAAAATCTTGTAGATATTTGTTGAACAAAAGTACAGAAACATATAAATTGTAGAGGTTATCGGATAAAGTACTAATCAGATGGACAGCAGTAGAGGTTATCGGACAGCAAGCACAGTTGCTGTTTTTTATTTTATACCTACAGAACAGGAAAAGTTCATTGCTTCTCCTGAATTTTAACCACAGCAATAAATCAAGAAACCATCTCTGACAAAAAAATTCCGTTTTCATTTTTTTTTGTTTATTTTCCTGCTGACTAATTTTTCTGCTGTTTTAGTGAACTGACAGCAACGAGTAGCAGTCCTTAGATGTTGAACACTGATAATAGCTGAAGGAGCCGCAATAACAGTAAAAAAACAACAATTGGTGTACAGATTGGTGATGCAATATCTATCATCATTTTTTCATCTACCAAAACGATACAAAAGCAAAATGGTAGTTTGGGATAACAAATTAAACAAATGCTATCGACCAATTGAAGATAGATTTGAAAAATGCTTCTGTAATGGGTTTTTTTTATTTTTTTGGTTGGCTAGTGAAACTGTTTTTTAAAATCTTATTGTCCAGCATCAGAACCATCGTTGGCATCTTCACTATCGTCATTTAAACAGAAAACCAAAAAGAAAAAAAGAACTTTTGGTTGAATATTGGAGCAAAAAAATGGCTTCCATTTATCTCAACCTTTTTCCTTCAACATTTAAACGTTTATGACATTGCTGTTTGGTTTATCGTTACTAAGTGCTCACCTGCAAAAGAAAAAGTTCGCAAAAAAAAGCTATTTGAAAAGAACAAAATAAAGGGAGTGAGGTGAAAGGGGGAAGGGAGAAAGGCGAAGAAGGGAGAGGAACTGAAAGAGGAAAATTGGAAATGAAAAAAACAAACGAATCAACAGACAACTGCAGTGATTTTTGTATTTAAAATCTGCAAATACCAAACTGTTGTGAAGAAGAAAAGAGAGTATCACTAAAAATTATAAACTATGAAGCAATAGTTTTTAGGGACGAAG